TATATATAGAGAGAGAGAGAGAGAGAGAGAGAGAGAGAGATAGACAGATAGATAGATGACATGCTGCATCTGCTACCTCCTCTCAACTAAGCTGAACCCTCCGTCCTGCTTCTAATGGTTTAGAAAGGGGTAAGTAAGGGATGGAGGGTATGGCTTCTTCTGCATTTGCTGCTGTGAGTATGCAGCAGCTCCTCAGGCTTCGCGGGTTTGGCGCCTTCACTGTGCCGATTATAAAATTTAAAATGCCTGGATAACTGCTCGTTGGACTCTTTTCGATTTCGATATACATTTCAATGCACTTGTTGATTTGGCTAGCCACTCCGCAATTATATTGATAATGATGATAATGGTAATAATGATAATGATAATGATGAAAATGAAAATGATAATGATAATGATAATGATAATGATGAAGAGGCGGCCTAAGTAGAGGTTAATGTTGTAGTTTGTCAATGTATATCAATGTATACCAAGCGGATTAAAAGCTAGGGACTTACCTTCCTGTTTTCGCAGTTTGTGTTCGTTCACATGCTGCTGCTGCATATGGGGCTGTGAAACTCTTGCCAGCAGATCGTTTCAGTGCGTGTTAGAGTCCTGTTGCTGTTAAATGTCGATTCTGTTGTTGATGCTGCTGCTGCTGCTGCTGCTGCTGCTGCTCTTACCAGTGCAACAGCCCCCACTGAGGGTTGTGGCATCCGCAGCCCCTCCAGTCAGCAGCAAACCGCATTTGCTGCACCCGCCGATGTTCCCTAAGTGAAGAAGACACAAATGAAGAGAAGAAAGTAACAACATTCTCAGAATCCTCCAACGGCCCCGTGCAAAACCCTGTAGTGCACGGGCACTGCAGTGGATCTCTGGTGTGACCTCTATAGGCGTAGCATCATGAAAAGGAACAAGTACTATAGAGTACTTCAGGGATTAGGACACCATTAGATAGAAAAGCAGCTTAATAGAATCATAGTGCTAGCAGGCTGGCACCAGCTTGGGGCTGGGTGTGAGGCTATTGCTGTGACTCTGGCACTGACTTTCAGCGAGGGTCGAGGGTCAGTTCTACTATTCGGGGGTGGGGCCCAACAATAATATGAACTCGCATGTATAATGGCTATTTATTGCGTTAAGTAGAGGGTGTAGCTAGAATCATCGATTGTAGTAGTTAATTGTAGAGTGTGCACCTAATCAGAATTGCTTAGAGGACAGGACATACATAGTAACAGTGAAGGCCTGCTGTTCACTACAAAGCCTGCGGCCTGCTGTGCCTGTGCTGCAGGAAGAGGCTTTGCTGCATTTGCTGCAGCTGACTTCGGGCATGAAGCCCCCTCCGCATCCATCAGCCCTTCATTATGGGCACAACCCTCTGAAACGCAGCAACAATAGCAGCACCAACAGCAACAGTAGCCGCAGGACCAGCAGGGGGCGCACGTGCTGCAACCGTTGCGAGAGAAGCACCGGACAAACAAACTGCCAACGACGTAGGAGTGCAATGCATATTTCTGCTGATAAATCTATCATTATTCTTGATGGTGTTCTCCGCAGCGTTGCAGCAGCTACTGGTGGTGCTGAGCTGCCTCAGAACGTTGGGCTGCTAGTGGACCCCTGCGCAATTGAGTCTACTGCTGCTGCTGAAGGAGAAGGTTTCTGTGCTGTTGCTATTATTATTGCTGTTGCTGCCGCAGCTGTTGTTGACGGCCTAACCTTGCGTTTGTCTGAGTATGCCAAAGCTTGCTGACGAACTCTGCGCCGTGCGCTGGGTTTGGGGCAGCGTCTTCATTGAGGCACCGCAGCCACCTCTGACCGGCCTTTATCGCACAGCTCTAAAGAGAGCAGGAGGCAGGCATTAGAGCCCAGCGAGGTTTAACCGGGCGGAGGCAGGGCCCCAAAATATGGAAGAATGAGAGGGCTGTCGCCTGCGGTGCTGAGATGGCTGTAGGTAGTAGACAGTGTGTAGAGAGCAATGAGAAGGAGTTGGCTCAGAACAGAAAGACGATAGGAGCATTTGAACCCCTCTCGAGGTGCAAGAGAGCAACTGTGAACAGAAGCTTGCATGCAGCCCTAATTAAAGCTGGAGGGCACATGCACGTGTTCGCCTTACCCTCTGCTGCTAAAGCGATAAAGGGTTTATAGATACCCCTTCGAGCCTGCAAACGTTTTAGCCCCACTTGAGCTATCAACTCCCCGAACCAAGGAAAATAATATTATCCTTTTCTTTAGCCTCTGCACATCCGTCTGAGCGCGTCTAGAACCTCATTCTTCTTTTTGCTGCTTATCTTAATGAGATTACTGCCTCTTTGTGGGGAGACTTCGATAGACTGTCGGCGACTTCCTGAAGAGTTATTAAAGGTCAGCATTAATGGTATGGTGGCATCTCCAGCTTGAGTGTACGTGTACATAGGGTGGAAGCCGAAGTGCTAACCCGAGAACGAACAGCAAAAGGGCGTAAGGCTTAGCTTACACCGAGTTGCCTTACTTCTAATAATATATTTTTACTCTCTCTATCGGATAGGCTGAAGCGATATGAGGTATACAAAATATTTTTTTGTACTCTCTCCTCCGGTTAGAGTGAAGCGAGGTCAGTTACTTCTTATATTATTTGTACCGTCTCTCCCCATTAGAGTAAAGCGAGATAGTTTATTTCTAGTAATATATTATTCGTAGTCCCTCTGTAGGCTAGACTGAAGTAATATAATTAATGTTTAATAATATACTATATTTACTCTCTCTTCCGGTTAGACTAGAGGGATATTAATTATTTCTTATATTATTATTTGTAGTCTCTCAATCGGAGACACCTCAGCGTGTTCAGTTTAAACGCCTTGGTGATGCCTGTACACTACAGTGACAGCCGACAAGAAGACAAGAAGGGACAAACGCGCCATAGAAACGAACAAGCCACAGCCTCTGCAGCTCCAAAGCCGCAGCGATGACACCGCAGTGCTGCCAGGGCGTCTCCTCTAAGGAGACAATGTGGTGTCGCTTGCTGCTCCTCCTGCTGCTGCTGCTGAGATGCTGAGCTGCTGCTTCCCTGCATTGTTAAGGGGATCACAGAGACACTGTACACTGGCAACTGTGGGGCCGGCGTTGAATTGTGAGTCTCCGTAGAGTCTCCATCGAAGGTTCTGCTATCTTCCAAGCAGGTGCTCGTTGCTCTTGAGTTAAGAAGTGCTTCTCCTCTTACTGCTGCTGCTGCGCCTTGTTCTTCGCTGCACCCGCTACTGCTGCTGTCGCCCAGAGGGGCCCCGCAGCAGAGACATCTGCCTCGGGAAGCAAAGAAGGCTGCACGCAGCACACTTGCAAACAAAGCTGCAGCTAAGGTATACAGTCATGATCCCTTTATCGGGGTGTCCCCCACTGCTGCTGTTGCTGCTGCTGGTCCATTCGCCTCTGCTGTAGCTGCTTCTGCTTCGCTTGCTGCTACTGCTGCTGTTGTTGTTCCCGCTGCTGCTGCTCCCTTGCCTAACCTGCTGCCACATCGGAGCGAGACATCCTACAAACCGCCGGCTGGCCCAGAAGTCTCCCCCTGCAGCAACACAAGCAGCAGTGTCTCCTTCCTGTTGCCAGCTGTTGTCTCCTCTTGCTAATCAGCGCATGCGCTTTGATTCAGGAGCACCATAATAACAAACACCACGTAAGGTGGAGGGAGAGCAGCTGCTGCTGCTGCTTTTGTTGCAGCAGCTAGTGTTGCTGTTGTTGCTGCTGCCTCACCTGTACATCCACCGCAGCCTGACAGCGGGGCGCACGCTGCCAAGCACGACGGGCCTCAGCAGTACCGCACACTGAAGACACCGCATGTTGCTGCTGCTGTTGCTGTTGCTGCTGCTGCTGCTGCTGCTGCTCAGGACACTGCTAGGCCGGATACAGAGACAGCTCGGGCACCGAAGACGGAGAAGAATACTGTCTGAAGCCAAGGAGACACCACAAACCCTAAACCCTAAACCCGAAACCCTCAAGGGTCATCGTGCCCCGCGGTGCTTCCTCCCCAAATCTACACCCCGCTCGTACCAAACACTAAACCCTAAACCCTAAACCCTAAACCCTCACTGCCAGGCAGCAGATCAAGCAGCCAAACTCACCCAGCATGCCCTCCTCCTCCAGCTCTCTCACCCGATCAGCTGTCCCTAGGGACACCCCATCAACCAAAAGTTGGGGGAGCACCGTCCCCTCAGCAGCAGCTTCAGCAGCAGCAGCATCTGCTGCTGCATCAACTGAAGCTGGCGGCAGCAACAAACACAGCAGACTCCAAGAACTTTGCTAAGGCCCTTGCTTCCGTACATTTGGTGCTGGAGACACCTGCTAGTTCGGGTGTATCCGCAGCTGCTGCAGCACTGTTTCTCTTACCCTCTTTGCTGCTTCTCCTTAAGCCTCTCGCCAGTCGCGTGGGGTGTCTCTGGGGTCCCTGCGGGGCCTCCCGCTTGGACTGCATCCCTTGGGGGTCTCGTGCGGGGAGCAGCACCTGCTGCTTGCAGAGACGCTGCAACAGCAGCGCGTCGTGCAGCCCTAAAGCTGCAGCAGCACAACACCAAAGGAGCCCAAACAGCAAGCCATCAACCTCTTCCTCAGCTCCCGCCGAAGCAGCAACCCTGACAGTTGCCTATAGAAGCTCAGAAGCAACACTCTGCTGCCGTGGGGGCCCCTCAGGGGCCCCCATGCCAACAGCAATGGGGGCCCTCAGGGGCCCCCAGGCATCAAGGAGACTCTCCACCCAACTCCGAGGCCTCGTTACAGTGCATAGCCTCTCTTTAGAGAGCAGGCAAGCAGCAGCTCAGCAACCCAGCAGCAGCAGCAACAGCAACAGCGGCAGCAAAGGCAGCAGGAGCAACAGCAACAACATTAGCAGCAGCAGCACCAAACTCCTGACCTGCTGCTTGAAGGGTGTTGGTGTCAATAAAGAGATAGGGGACTCCTTTGCAGTCCATCAGATTCACGAGCTGCTGAGACACCGCGTGGGCCCTTCGGCTGGCTGCGAGGGTGTCTCCTATTAACACCACCTGAAGGAGACAGGGAAAGGAGACAACAAATGCTGCGCATCAGAGACACCTCAGAACCTGCAAAAGAGACAATAACATACAAAGCGCAGACACAGCAGCAGCAGGCAACACCATAGACGCGAACCTCCGCTAGTGGGCCTCGGTAGAAGGCTGCCGTAGCGGCCCTTCTGCAGCTGTTGCTGCTGCTGCAGTTGTTGTTAGTGCTGCTGCAGTTGTTGCTGCTGCTGCAGTTGCTGCTGCTGCTGCGGAGAGGAGCAAGGCTCAAAGAAGGGCCCGCCGCTGCATTTGCTGCAGCTGTCTCCAGCTGCTGCTTGCTGCTGCCCCTTCGTACGAGCGAACGCCCCGAGAAAAGACGCATGATGCTGCTGCTGCTGCTGCTGCTTTGCTTTGAGTATACCTCCATGGTTTGCTGCTCCTCCTGTTGTTGCCTCTGTTGCTGCTGCTCTAGACGAACAAACTCTCCGATAACTGTCTCCTGCAAATTCAGCAGCCTAAGGTAATCAGACTCCCCTTCTGTCTGTTGCAGCAAGGAGACACTGCGGCGCTGCTCCCCTACACGGTGCAGCTCAAAGGCTTGCTGCAGCAGATTCGTGGCTGCCTCCCCCAAGTTGGCTTCTTCTACTACATCGTTCTGCTGCTGTTGCGGCTGTTGTTGCTGCTGTTGCTGTTGTTGCTGTTGTTGCTGTTGTTGCTGCTGCTCCTGCGCTTGTTCATCATCATACGCCCGCATCGAAAGCACCAATTGCTGCTGCTGCTCCTGCACTTCCCCCGTCAATGTGCTGCTGTCACCAGTCCCTTGCTGCTGCAGCCCTACCACCGGGTGCTCCGGGCCCCTGCAGCAGTCATAAGGGGCACCATGGTCGTCAGGAACCTGCTGCTGCTCTGTATCTCCTGCCGCTGCCGAAGCTGGTGTAGCTGCTGCAGCTGCTGCAGCTTGTGCATCTGCTTCAGCTGGTGCTGCTGCTTGGTGTGTGTCTTGCTTGCCCCAAAACCGCAGTCTCCGAGACCATCTCCTGGGTAGCAGCTGCACATCTCTGAAGGAGAAGCGACTACCTGCTGTACCTGCAGAGGCGCTGCCCTCCACGCTGCGGTTGTTGTTGCTGCTGCTGCGGTTGCCGCTGCTGCTGCCGTTGCTGCTGCTGCATGCGCCTCGCCTTCTTTGCAATAAGCCCAAATGCACGCTCATCCCACTGGCATTCTCCAAGCTGCCTACGTAAGAGGCACATGTGCTGTGGCTGTTGCTGCTGCTGGTGCTGCTGCTGCTGCTAGTGCTGCTCCTGCTGCTGCTGCTGCTCTCGTTTAAACTGGGGGACTTCACCCTCCTGAAGATGCTGCTGCTTAGCCTGAGAAAAGACCGGCAAGCAGACAGTGAGCGCTGCGTATCGAAGAGCCGGGTCTTAGGGGGAACCCAGGAGTCTGGATTGTTGTTGCTGCTCGTGCAGCAGCAGCTGCTGCTGCTGCTGCAGCTGCCGCAGCGGCTGTCATGCCTCTCAGGCAGACAGGTTTCTGTGCTGCTGCTGCCAGCAAACGTGCTGCTGTTGCTGTTGCTGCTGCTGCCTGCGGACGTGCTGCTGTTGCTGTTGCTGTTGCTGCTGCCGCCGGCAGACGTGCTGCTGCTGCTGTTGCTGCTGCTGCCTGCAAACGTACTGCTGCTGCTGCTGCTGCCCAGAGACAGTACGCATTTGTCTCTGCTTCCCCGTGGCACTTCGTGCTCAGAGCCCTTCTTTCCTTCCTGTTCTTGTCGCTCGCGCTGCTCCTGTTGTTGTTGCTGCTGCTGCTGTTGTTGTTGCTGCTGCTGCTGTCTAGCAAGAATCTCCTGAGATAGCTGAGCAGCCCTCCAAGAGAGCAGGGCCCCGTCAGAGACAGAGCCGGGACTCTGCAAGGCGAGGTGTCGCTCCTCTAGCAGCAGCTGCTTCAGCATCTGCTGCTGCTGCTGCTGCTTGTGTGGGTATTTGCCGCTACGGAAGGAGAACTGCAGCACAGGGCAACAACAGCCAAACAGCAGCAAAAGGACACAGCTAGCTGCGCTTTCTTGCTGCAGGTGCTGCAGCGAGCCGCCCCACTAACCTGCAGCAGCTTCCACAAAGGCGGAGCCTCTAGCAGCAGCAAAGCCCCCTCAATCAACAAAGAAGAGAAACAGACACACGAAGAGAGCAGCAAGGGGCTTTCATCTGCTGCAGCAGCACTAGCTGCATCTACAGCTGCAGCAAAACCAGCAGAAGAAGCAATACCCACAGCAGCAGCAGCAGCAACAGCAGCAATAGGACAGCAGCAGCAGGGCATTCAAATCACACCTTTTTTAGCAGCGGCTTGCGATGCTGAGGGTCTGCCTTAGCAGCAGCAAACGGTAAAGTGTCTCCTGCCGCTCCTCCTGCGTATCTGCTGGCCTCAGAGGAGCCAGGCTGTCCCCTCGACTGCAGCAGCAACTCGCTGCAGACCCGCCTCAAGCTGCTGCCAAGATGCATGCGCCCCTTCCCATCTGCTGATGCGGCTGGCGCTGCTGCTTCTGCTGCAGATGCTGTTCCTGCTGCTGCTGCTGCTGCAGTTGGCTCTGATGCAGTAGACGTAACAGCGGCGCTGGAGTGGTATTTTCTCAGGTACCGCTTCCAGTGCTGCTGCTGCTGCTGCTGCTGCTGCTGCTGCTGCTGCTGCTGGCTCTTTCTCCCTCTGTCTTCTCCTGAACTGCTGCCCGTGTCGGAAAAGAGATCAAACGCCTCAGTCATCTGCCCCCTCCACAAAGCAGCAGAATTGAACGGGGTCCTCTCTCTCTCCTTCTCAGGTGTACAGACACCTCCTTCCCTGCTGCGCCCCCAAGTCGTCTGCTGCCTTCGCGCTGCTCGAAGGCCCAGCCTACGCTTCCGCCGCAACAGCAGCTGCAGCAGCAGCCGCTGTTGCTGTCCGTGCTTACGTATCTTGCGGTGCTTCAGCAGCAGCAGCAGGTTTCCAACGGAGATACCGCTGCGGCTGCTACTGCGGCAGATCTGCTGCTGCTGCCGCTGCTGCTGCAGCTGCCGAATCTCCTGCAGCAGCTCCCAGTGCAGCCGCCACAGCCAAATTTCTCCCTCTATAGGGATGTGGGGCCCCACAGGTGTGTCTCTCAGGAGACACTTGGGTGGCCTCTTTCCTAGCAGCTCGTTGCTGCCGCAGCAGCAACTGCTGCTGCCGCAGCTGCAGCGACGCAGCCGCCGCAACCTCTTCAGAGCCCGCCTCCAGCGGTTAGCTTGCTGCTGTCTCCTCAGCAGCTCCAGTTTGGCCTTGTGCTGCTGCAGCTGCCGCAGCAGCAACAGCTGCTTCCTCGTCTGGGGAGAGTGCGCAGCAGATGCCTCGATGGCTTGCCTTAGCTGCTGAGGCTTGAACACATCTTGGTTGCCCTTGTGCTGCTGCTGCTGCTGTTGCTGTTGCTGCTGCTGCAGAGGCCCACCTCTCTCCCCAAGCTGCGCTGCTGCTGCAGCACCATTGGTTGCTTCCCACAGCCGCCTTCGCAGCAGCAGCTCCTCGGTGAAAGACAGCGGTCGTTGCGGCCCCTGCTGCTGCTGCCTCTGTCGCTGCTTCCTCCGCTGCTGCTGCTGCTGCGCTGCTGCAGCAAAAGAAGGCATACCAAACAACAGCAGCCGCTCCCGCCTACCTCCCCTTCTGAACGACGCTGCAGAGGAGACACTCCGGGCTCGTCTTCGGTGCAGCAGTAGCTGCTGCTGTTGCTGCTGCTGCTCAATTGTCTGTAGGCGCTGCAGCAAACGCCTCTGAATAGACACCTGGGAGGAGACCGGCAGGGGCTTACCCAGCGAAGTCAATCTGCGCTGCAGCAGCTCCTGCTTCTCTTGCTGCTGCAGCTTCACTTGCTGCTTCGGTTGATCGTCCGGCCCCACGAAGTCCTCCAACTCTCCACAATGGCTGCTAAACGCAACAGAGCCGGAAGCCTGTGCTGCTGCTGCTGCTGCTGCTGGTGCTGCGGCAGGAGCTATTGATGCAGGCGCAGTGCTTGTCCCCTTAGTATCCATCCTGGTTCTATGTATGTTGGCCTTGCTGCTGCTTCGGCTTCTGTGGTTGATGCTGCCTTTGGTGCTGCTGCTGCTGCTGCTGCTGCTCATACTGTTGCTGGCGGATGCTTGCCGCAGCAGCGAACCTCCTTGTGGGGGGCCCTCTGCTGCTGCTGCAGTGCAGAGTGGAAGAGACGGCAGCATCAGTCTCCTCCTGTAAGTTGCTGCCGATGCTGCTCTCCTTGCTGCTGAAGTCTCAGCTGATCTGGAGAGACAGTTGCTGCGGCGTCTCCGCAACTGCAGCAGCAGCAGATGCTGCTGCTGCTGTCCTTGTTGCAGATGCTGTTGGTGGTGCTGCTGCTGCGGGGAGGGCCACAGAGCCTCTGCAGAGTCGAACGCTCCTGGCTGTAGCAACAGCTGTTCCTGCTGCTGTTGCTGCTGCAGCAAGACAGTAGTCGCCGCATCCTCCACAACCGGCTTTTGGGGTGTACGCTGCTGCTGCTTTTGCTGCTGCTGCTCGGGAGCAGCAGCAGAAGGTGGCTGTGTCTTCTGCCGCGTCATGAAGAACTAGTAGGGTGTGGTTGTGTCTCGATGAGTTGAGCCAAAGCCAAAGGTGCTCCGTTGCTGCTGCTGCCGTTGCTGCTGCTGCTGCTGCTCCCTACCCCTAAAGAAAGAAACAATTCAAAGCAAAATAGTATAAAAAGCTTGTTGCTCCTTAGAAGCTGCAGCAGGAGCTACCACTGGGCTTGGTGCGGTACGTGGCCTTCAGGCGGTGAAGTTGTGTCTCAGCGGTTGTTGCTGCTGCTGCTGCTGTTGCTGCTGCAGCAAGCATAGATATAGTATGCGTGTTGAGTCTGTTAAAGAATATACTTTCATTAATTCTTCTAAATATTCTATCTTAAAGGAAGCGCTTGAGATGAACACCGACACTCCTCCGGAACAGTCAACCCCGAACCCCCCTGCAGCAGCAGCAGCAGCAGCAACAGCAGCAAGTGTGATAGGGCTGAAGCAGCCTCTGTCGTTTATCTAACGGTGAGACAGATTAATATATGTTCTAGTTAATCAAGGAAAACCAGAAGCAGCAGCCGGCTCTAACACCCGATCGTTCCCTGTGCTGCGGGAGCCTCGACTTCGAGTTGCTGCTGCTGCTGCTGCTGCTGCTGCTGCTGCTGTTGCTGCTGCTGCTGCTGCTCGCGCGTGCCGCTCAAACTGCAGCTGCCCGCAGCCACGTTTCCTTGTGCGCAACTGAATTTAAATAGATAATTATTAATTAAAACAATCAAAAATTGGTTTCCTTTACCTAACGAACGCGGTGGCGCGTGCTGCAGCAGCGGCCGCTACAGTTGCTGCTGTTGCTGTGCCGCTGCAGCTGCTGCTGCGGCAGTAGCAGCTGCTGCTGCTCTGGCGTCAGCAGCAGCTGCAGCAGCCCGAGCTGTTCTGCAATTCCGCATAGGCTTCTCCTGTGTGCTAACAGTGTATATTCTGTCTTGTGCCTGTACCTTGAAAGTAGAGGCGTTTGCAGCAGCAGCAGCAGCAGCAGCAGCAGCAACAGCAGCAGGACCCGTTTGCGTGTCGGAGCACTCTTTCTATCTTTCCGTATCAGCGCAGCGGCTGCTCCTGCTGCAGCCGTTGCAGCAGCTGTAGCGACGATTCCTGTTGTGTGGTTGCAGCAGCAACCGAAAATATTGCAGGATTTCCCCTGCTGCTGCTGCAGCAGCAGCAGCAGCAGCAGCAGCAGCAGCTCCCTACCTGCCACGGGGGGCCGGGCCGTCCGTCCCACTCGCTGCCCTGCTGACGCAGCGCCAGCGCAGCAGCAGCATTTGCTGCTGCATCAGGAGAACTTCAATTCACAGTACACCGCAGCAGCAGCAGCTGCTCGGTTTTGCGGGGCCATCTGCTGCACGCCACCTGCAGCAGCGGCAGCAGCAGCAGCAGCCTTACTAGTAGTAGCAGCAGGGAGAGTTAGAATCCCTGCTGCAGCTGCAGCGCCGCCGCCGTACGACTCCAGAGCTTCAGCACTGCGGGTGCAGCAGCAGCAGCCGCAGCAGCAGCGCGCAGCAGCACAGACAGCTGAAGCAATAACGGGGGTGCCTTACTGCCTTGACAGTCGCTAACAGGAGCTTCATTAGCTGTTGTATGCCCCCCAACAGAAGCAGGATTTCTTTCAGCCCCGCGATATGCAGCCGAAGCAGCAGCAGCAGCAGCAGCAACCGCAACCACAACGCACGGCTGCCGCAGCAGCGGAGACAATGCACGGGTCCATTCGAGGTTAGCCCCACAGATGCATGATCCCTAGCAGCAGCAGCAATAGGAGCATGACCAACAGCAGAAGCAGCCGGCTGTCTCCTCGGCTGGCGTTGCTGTAGCATTAGCTAGTTCTTATGCTGCTGTGGTTTGTGTCTTGCTGCTTTTGCGCTGTGTGTCTTGCTGCTGCAGCGCACCGCGGTGTAGCTGCTGATGGTGCAGCAGCTGCAGCACAAACTGCAGCAGCAGCCACAGCAAGTGCAGCAGCGCGGGGCGGTGCTGCGCATGCAGCAGGGGAGGGCCTTGAAGAGACGCTGCAGAAGCTCAAAGGACTGCAGCAGCAGCTGGCAGGTATGCTACCTCGCTTTGTTTGCTGCTATTGCTGCTGCTACACGGGCTGCTGCTGCTGCTGCTGCAGCGCGTCTGTTTACATGTTTGCTGCTGTTTCTGCTGCAGCATGGACTGTCCGCGACGGTGCCCACGCTGCTGATGAGACGCATACTGCAGCAGCTGCTGCAGCAGGAGCTTACCCTGTGAGACAGTTACGACACAGCAGCAGCAGCAACAGCAGCAGCAGCAGGTGTCGCGTCGTGTTTTACCCGTAGTGGTGTAGGGTCTAGAGCTGTTGCTGCCTGTGTGCTGCTGCTGTTGCTGCGTTTGTCTTAGGCTTCCTTTAAAACTGAAGGGGCTAGTGAACAAACCCCTGTTTCTGCTGCTGCTATGCAGCAGCAAGGCAGCAGGGCCAGCAGCAGCTCCCATACAACGGGGCCGATTCCTCCAGCAGCAGCAGCATCAGCAAGTGCTGCTGCTGCTGCTGCTGCTGCTTCTCTGCCCCATTGGGCCGGCGGCAGCGCTGTGAGCTCTCGGGATCCCACTGACCGGAAGCTGCATGCAGTGTTGCTGCAGCAGCAGCAGCAGCAGGGTGCAGCAAGCTGCTGCGGAAGCAGCAGCTGCCGCCTTAGTGACAGCAGCACTTGTGCTGATGACCCCTGCAGCAACAACGGCCGGAGGCGCAGCATCGACAGCTTTTCTAGCGAGAGCAGCAGCAGCAACCCCGAGAGCAGCAGCAGCAGCGGCATGAGCTGCGCCGCCGTCCAGCAGCAGCAGCACTTGCTGCTGCATCATCAGCAACCACACCTGCAGCAGCGCCAGCAGCAGCTGCACATGCCTTCAGCAGCAGAAGGGTGTGGGCCGACGACAGCGCCTGCTGCTGCCTTCTCTTTGCTTTCAAGCTGCAAAGGCGCGCAGCAGCAGCAGCAGCAGGGAAAGCCGCAGCAGCTCCAGACACAGCAGCACATGCCCCGGGAGGAGCAGCAACAACACCAGCAGGCAGGAAGGATAGGGGGCAGCAGCAGCAACAGCAACAGCAGCAGCAGCAGCAACAGCAGCAGCAGCAGCAGCAGCGACTTCGTATTAGGGGGGCTGTTCGATCGATTTGCTGCTGCCAATATGCACAAGGCAGCAGCAGCGGCTTCAGGTGCTCCGAAGCTACCCTCACGTACCGCTGACGCTCCACAGCAGCAGCAGCAGCAGCAGCAGCAGGAAGCCCCGCATCAGCCGCCGGTCTCTCGCTGCAGCACGGCTACTTCATCACCATGCAACGCATCAAGGAGAGCCGCGGCAGCAGCTGCAGCAGCAGCAGCAGCAGCAGGCCAAGAGGGCGGTAGCACGGAGTCGGACGCGCACCCGCTGGCTCATCCTCCGCTAGGTCTGAGCAGAAGCAACAGCAGCAGCATTAACAGCAGCAGCAGCAGCAGCACAAGCAGCAATGGCACAGTTTACCCTGATAGGGGGGTAAAGAGAGACAGACAGGCGTATAGCGGCCGCTTTGCTGTTGCTACCTTCGTGCAGCAGCAGCAACTGCAGCAGCAGCAGCAGTCCCCTGCCTACTCTTTCGAGAGAGTTGCATCCTCTCCCGACTCAACAGCAGCAGCTGCTGCAGCAGCAGCAGGAATGCCTGCAGCATCAACAGCAGCAGCAGCAGCAGCAGCGCTGAGCTTGAGTGGAAGGAGCCGCCGAATGCAGTCATTTAGCGGCAACCGTGACTTGAGCAGCAGCAGCAGCAGCAACAGCAACAGCAACAGCAGCAACTGGGGTCCTGTTGGCGGGCCATTTTCCATTGGCAGCAGCGACAGCAGCAGCAGCAGCAACTTTCATAGCCCGAGCCGGCGTCATAGCGCCAGCCGGGGGGGCAGCAGCAGCAACAGCAGCGGCAGCAATACGTCTGCACTTTCATTTCGCTTCAACGGCGAAGCCTTTCCCTCAGCTGCAGCAGCTGCAGCAGCAGCAGCTGCAGGAGAGGATTACTACGGGGCTTCTTCTTTAGGGGCACCCCCAAGGAGCGCAGCAGCAGCTGCTGCAGCAGCAGCAGGAATGCGAGGTGCAGCACACATACAAGGCCCGTGCTCGTTCAGAGAGTCCGCTGCTGCTAACTGGCCTACGCATATCACTGGGCAGCAGCAGCAGCAGCAACAGCAGCAGCTGCTGCTCCAGCAACAGTGGCAGAACCCGAACTACCACCAAGCGCAGCAGCAGCAGCAGAAGCAGCAGCCCTCCTGCGAGGTGCTGACACCTGTTGGGCCTGCAGCAGCTGCTGCTTCACTGCAGGACTGCCTTCGAGGGCCGCTGCGGGAGGGTGCTCTTGCTGCAGCAACACCTTCAGCAGCAGCAGCAGCAGCAACACCAGCAGCAGCAGCCAGAGCAGCAGCCGGCGCGGGATCGCGCGGAGCAGCAAATGCGCCCTCTGTCTCCCCAGCGGGAGCAGCAGGTGCAGCACCGAGAGCAGCAGCAGCAGCAGCAGCAGCAGCAGCTACGGGAAGTGAAGACAGCGGCGAAGCACTGCCTTGCGTAGGGGGGTTAGGCTTACCTGATATTGCTTCTTGCATCTTAGGAGGCCCGCAGCAGCTGGCTGCGTTATCGTTGCAGCATCAGCAGCAGCAGCAGCAGCAGCTTGACGAACAGCAGCAGGACGGCTTCTTGCAATTCATGCGGGAGCATCCAGGCGAAGCCCAGCGCATGTGGGCGCTGCAGCAGAGGAGCGGCAGCAGCAGCAGCAGCAACAGCAGCAACGCCAACAATAACAGCCGCAGCAGCAGCAGCAGCAGCAGCAACCCCCACGCTCCCCAACCCCTCAGCAGCTCCTGCGGCCCATGGTATCCTTCAGCCAGGCCCTTCGGCGTCTCAGGGAGTGAGACAGCAGCAGCAGCTGCAGCTGCAGCAGCTGCTGCTGCTGCTTCGTGCTCGTCTTCTGTCATGATGGAAGCATTTGCTGGAGTCCGCTCGACTCCAAGTGCAGCAGAGTCCCCGGGGCTGCAGCAGCAGTTGCAGCAGCAGCTGCAGCAGCAGCAACTGCAGCAGCAGCTGCAACAGCAGTTGCAGCAGCAACAGCAGCAGCAGCTTCTGCTGCAGCAGCAACGAGAATGTTTTCCTGGCGTTTGCCAGTATCCAGGAAGCCATCACCAACCTGATACAGCAGCAGCAGCAGCAGGTGCTGTTGCTGCTGCGAGTCTGCTGCGCGGCGAGGGTTGCTACTGTTGGCAGTGCGCTTCGCAGCCGCAGCAGCAGCAGCAGCTGCAACAGCAGCAGCAGCTGCTGCACCAGACTCACCCAGTGTACGCAATTTTGCGCGTCATTCCATCTGAGATTCAGGTCTGTCAACTGCAGTGGTGCTGGGGAGGTGAATTGGCCCCCGGTTCGCAGCAGCAGCAGCCGCAGCAGCAGCAGCAGCAGCAGCAGGACAAGGAGTACGGGCACGCAGGCATGCAGCAGCAGGGCCTGTCTCCTAGTTCCTTCAGCTACACAGCTGCAGGGCAGCAGCAGGAGCAGCAGCTGCAGCAAGAAATGGTTTGCTATGGAGGCGCTTCTATCTGTGCGCCTCCATGTACCCTCAACGATAGGCCAGGCAGCTTCGGCAGGAGCAGCAGCAGCAACGGCGAAGCAGCAGCAGCAGCAGCAGCAGGAGCTTCTGCTCCCCCGGTGCTGCTCCGCTGCCACAGGGGAGAAAGCGTGGAGGTGTATTTACACCACAAAAGCGGGTGGCTCTTCGGCAGCATCCATGGACAGCCACACAGGTGCTGCTGCTGCTGCTGGTTGCTGCTGCTGCTGTTGCTGGTTGCTGCTGCTGGTTGTTGCTTCTGTTGTGCGGGTTTGCAGCTGCTTTAGATGCATCTGTAGGTTTATTGTGTGGTGTGCGGATGTCTGAGCAGACATTTGTGTCTTTAAAGGAAGCACTGTCTCCTTATCTGTTGCCGTTGTCTCTCTGTCTCTTTCTATGCTGCTGTGCTGCACTGTCTCCTTTTGTTGCTGCTGTGCTGCACTGTCTCCTTTTGTTGCTGCTGTTTGTCTCCTCAGGAAGGGCTGGTTCCCCTACTATCTTTTGCATGATCCTATGCGCTGGGCGCTGTCTCCTTCGAGTTCAGCAGCGCCTAGCAGCGGCAGCAACAGCAGCAACGGCAGCAACAGCAACAGCAGCAGCAGCATGAGCAGGCGCGGAGACTCCAGCGCTTTCGGCGCGCTTGTTGCTTGAACAACAGCAACAGCAGCAGTGATATTAGCAGCAGCAGCAGCAGCATATGCTGCTGCTGCTGCTGCTGCTGCTGCATGTGCGAGACTGAGCTATCTGCTGCGCTCTTAGGGGTTTATATTTGCCTAAGTCGCAGCGAGAGCAAAAACATCTATGAAGAAGAAACAGCAACAACATCTTGCTGCTGCTGCTGTTGCAGCATGCAGCGAACTTTTTATTTGCAGCAGATTGTTAGAAAGGCCAAGTGTCTCCTCACAGGCAGATGCAGCATAGGGGTAGAGCAGCGGGGAGACACCTAAAGGAGACACTTAAAGGAGACATTTGGAGGAGGCACTTAATAGAGAGACTTAAGGGAGACACTTGAAGGAGACGCTTAAAGGAGACATTAAATAGATAAATTTAAAGGAGACACTTAAAGGTGACACTATATAGAGACATTTAGAGGCGACATTTAAAGGAGACACTTAAAGGAGACGCTTGAAGGAGACACCTAATGGATAAATTTAAACGAGACATTTAGAGGAGACACTTAGAGAAGGCATATAAAAAAAGACACCTGACGCAGGCAGTGTAAGGAAACAGGCACTGTAAGGAGACATTTAAAGGAGACACTCGGAAGAGACTGTTAAAGAAGACAAGCAAAGGATGCAACTGAGGGAGACATTAGAAAGAGACACTTAAGGGAGACACTTGAAGGAAGATACATAAGGGGGACACTTAAGGGAGGCATTCAAAGGAGACACTTAAAGTAGCCACTTCTAAGGGGGTCTCTCCCGGAGGAGACGCTAGAAGGAGACACTCAAAGGAGATGCGTAGACGAGACACTTGAAGGGGAGGGGACACTCAAAGAAGATACTTGCAACAGAAACTTAGAGCAGACATTTATAGGAATGTAGGTAGTAGATACAGAGACAGAGAGACACCGCATAAGACACGCATAGAAAACGTATCTAAGGACAGGTAGTAGAGGGGGAAGGAGACAGTAGGAGGAGACAGACAAATGCAAGACAGATCGCTAGACAGCTCATGCAGAGGCAATTAAGAGAAAGAGAGACGAAATAGATAGAGGCAGCAGACAAGCAAATCGATGTAGGGGAGCAGCAGACTTAAAGCGAAAGGAGACACCTACAGAGGTTCAGCACGGAGACAGATAAAGCAGCAAAGAGTTAGAAAGGTCTCCGTGCAAAGAGGAGGCAAAGAGGAGACAAAAAAGCAACGCCCACCTTAAAACAAAGGAGACACTCAGCCACTTATCTCTGAAGAGCGGTGCTGAAGCCTCTTAGTCATTTATTTATTTAGAACAACTTGCTGCTAGCGCATGCATAGATAGAGCTACTTCTTTTCAAGCCCCGACAAGGCTGTGGAGGAGGCCCTTTTGCTGTTATTTATACTGCTTGTCGTTTTCTGTTTATCTTTAGCTGCTGCTGGCTTGATGTTTGCTATTTGTTATCTGGTAGAGAGAGAGCCGTTGCACTTTGATTGCATTCTCTCTCCTTGCTGCACCAGCAGCTGCAACAGCAGCAGCTGTTGCTGCTGCACCAGCAACAGCTGGATGCGCTGCTGCAGCAGCAACGGCTTCGCGCGCTGTTGCTGAGCTTGTTGAGAGGGGCATTTTACTGTCGTATGTTTAAGGCTCGCCGAATTCGTTGGGGTGTACAGGCAGGTGCCGCTGCGCTTTGCTTTACACTAGTGCGAGGAGGCACTTACGCTGCTGCTGCTGCGTTTGGTGTCCTTAATTGCATGAGCCCTGCTGCAGCAGAGACGAAAGTAGCAGCAGCAGTTGCTGCTGCAGAGATGATTGCTATCTCCCCTGCGGCTGCATGAAAGTGCGCCGCCCCCCTTTATTTATATCTTTATATGGGGTGTACACGCAGCTGCGTTGCTTCTTCTGCTGCAGCTGCCTCAATCTGCATACAACAATCTCTGCTGTGCCGCCAAGCTGCTGCTGCTTCTCTGCTGTAGCTGGTGCTACCACCAGCTGTTGCTGCTGCTGCTTACGACAGGAACAGCAACAGCCGCAGCAGTCTCAGCAGCAGCAGCAGCAGCTGTCGGGTGGAGGCGCCTCTCGGCCTTTAAGGAGCTATGCCTCTTTAGCTGCAGAGTACCGATGAAGAAAGAAGCCTTATTGACAAATGGTTGGGCTATGCTGCGCCTTGCATGCATGCATGCATGCATACATGAAACAGAGCAGCAATGGTGCTGCTGCCTCTGCTGCTGCTGCTGACCTCACAAGTGCTGATGTCGGAGATGCAGCAGCAGCAGCAGCAGCAGCAGCCAGGAGCTCTACGGCAACAACTAAGTTTACGAAGAGGAACGACGACGCGCTGCTGTTTTAACTGGTATAAAAAAGAATCAGCTGCGGCAAGCAGCAAAAGAGAGCACCCCACAAGCGCTGCAGCAGCTCTATAGAGACTGTCTCCAGTCTCTTCCTAGGGTTTGTCGTTGTCTCTGAGAGACATTACTTCTTCTCAACAAACACCGCATGCAGTAATAAATGATGCTGCGTCTTGCAAGTGTGCTGCAGCAACAGATACAGCCGGACTTATGTAGCGTTTTGTGCTGCTGCCAGCGACTGCGCAGCAGCAGCATCAGCAGCAGCAGCAGCAAGCAGCAAACTGTTTCTGCAGCCGCTCAAAAGAAACAACAGAGCTGCTGCTTTCCCTCTTATTTCTCTGCTACTGAGGTGCCTTGACGCATGCGCCTTCTTAATGATATATGCTACAGACAACTGCATGCATGCATGCATGCATGCATGCGGTCTTATGTTTAGATAATAAAGGATTTTAAACTTATGAATGTTTATTTAAAGAGAAGGGCCTCAAGGACAGACAGATACACAAAAAAGCAGAAAAAAAGAAAACTGCTTGCTGCTGCCCTCCAGGCATTGACTGGGATCTAACGCTGCGGTGTACATACACCGCAAACGAAGAGATTGACAAGAGTGCCACATGCAGCCATCCATGGCAGCAGCAGCAGCAACAGCAGCAGCAGCAACAGCTAAAGCTGAACTCCCGCCTGTTGCACACTCGAGCAGCAACAGCAGCAGCTGAACTCCCGCTACTGCACACATCAGCAGCAGCAGCAGCAGCAGCAGCTGAACCCCCGCTGCTGCAGCAACAGCACTTGCTGTTATTTGTTGCTTATGTTGGGGGCTGCTAGTAGAAGAGGAGTGTGGGGCCCCAACCTCTGGACAATCTTTTCGTGTGCAGCGAGGCGTCGCCTGCTGAACTCGAGCAGCGCTGTAAAGAATGAAGTGCTGCTGCTGTCGGTGTCTGCTGCAGCTCCCGCTGCCGCTGTTGTTGTTGCTGCACCCAAGCTTGACCGCCGCCGCTCCTGCTGCTGTTGCTGCTGCTGCTGCTGCGAAGGGTGTGGAGTAGAATCTCCTGCAGCACCGGCCAAGAGGCTCTCTCCCCTGCTTGGAGAGTGCTGCAGCACGACAGAGAGGGGCCCGCTGCTGCTGACTGTGTACTTTCGTTGCTGCTGCTGCTGCTGCAGCTTCTGGCGCGTGTGCTGCTGCTGCTGCTGCCGAGATAAGCGGGCAAGCAGAGCAACAAACTGCCGCGTCGTCTCCTCGTGCTGCAGCACCACGTTGCCTCCCACAAGGCTGCATAACAACACAAGAAAAGCAGTGTGCTGTCTCCTTGCTGCTTCATTCTATCTCAGCTGCAGCAAAGCCTGAGACGGCTGCCAACTGCTGCTGCTGCTGCTGCTGCTGCTGCTCTTGCTGCGGGGCTTACCTGTTAAGGATCGACGCTCCCAAGGTGGCTGTGCGCTGCAGCGTTGTATCCAGCAGCTGCTGCAGCCCCTCGAGAGTAATTAATGGGGGCAGCAAGCCGTCGAGCTCTCTGTCGCAGCAGCAGCTATCCTCTTCTGCTGCTGCAGAAGCACAGCCACAGCCAGTGCTGCCTTGACTAAACACAGATAATGCGTCTGCTGCAGCAGGTGCTGCAGCAGAGCTTTGCCCCGAACACTTCACGTTGCTGCTGCAGCAGCAGCAGCAACACGGATTCTGTCGCAGGCGCAGCCGCCCGTACACCGCAGCTGCTGCCTGCGACCGACGCCTCAACGATGGGCTCATTCCCTGCAGCAGCAGAAGCAGCAGCAGCAGCAGCAGCAACAGCAAATAAAGCATCGAAGCTGAAGCACTTCACTCTTCAATTCAAGCACCATCGACACCACAGCACACCCCCTCTAATAGCTTTCCTTCTGCTCACGCGGGAGCAGCAGCAGCAGCAGCAGCAGCAGCAACAGCAGCAGCAGCAGCAGCAACAGCAGCAGCAGCACAAATCGCCAAGGTTGCAGTAATGAACGAACTCGCTGCCTGAGGAAAACATTTGTTGCTGCTCCTTGAGACAGAGAAAGACCCGCCACAGAGACAGCTGACGAAGGCACCCCCCTGTACAGACACCCCACACACTCCCAAAGCTATGTTGCTCAGCTGCAGCACAGCTGCAGCAGAACAGCAGCAAAGCTTGCAGCCCAGTTGCAACAAAGCTGCAGCAGAACAGCACCAAAGGTGCAGCGGAACAGCAGCAGAACAGCAACAGAGCACCAGCAGCAGAACAGCAACAGAGCACCAGCAGCAGAACAGCAGTAGCAAAGCTGCAGCAGAGCTGCAAACTGCTGCGGCTGTCTCTTGCGTGTGCTCGTGTGTCTCACGCTACGCTGCTTCTTCTCTGTGTCGACTCTGGCTGCGTGGCAGTCTCCTCCTGCAGCTGCAACAGCTTCCCTTCTGGCTGCAGCAGCAAAGAAAGAGGCAGCAGCCGCTGTCCTGCTGCAGTCATCACCTGCAGCAAGCAAAGCACACGAAGCACTCCAGGGCCCTCAAGAAAGCAACAGTGGATGCTGCCGCTGATTTTGCTGCTGCTGTGCTACGACTCGCGCTTCTGCCGATGCTGCTGCACCAGCAGCAGCTGCTGCTGCCGCTGCTGCAGTTGCTGCAGCTAAAGCCTCACGCAGCAGACTCGTGTCTCCAACTGTGTCCCCAAGTCTCGGGCCCGCTGCAGCACTGATGCTGCGCTGGTCACCGCTTGCAGCAAACAACCGAACTGCAGGAGAAGCAGCACAAACACAGCAGCAGCAGCAGCAGCAGCATGAAGTTTTGCTGCTTCATAAAAGAAGACCGCTTGTGTGTGTCTCCTGCAGCTGCTATGTCGTGCTGCTGCTGTCTCTGTCATCAATCGCTGCGCCTCCAGCTGTCTCTGTCTCTGTCTCCATGTCTATTTGCTGTTGTCTCTGTGTCTGTGTCTGTTTCTGTCTCTCTATCTATGTATGTGTCTCTCTCTGTTTCTATTTGCTGCTGTCTCTGTCTCTGTCTCTATTTGCTGCTGTCTCTGCCCCCTTCTCTGTCTCTTTGCAAAGGCCCCTTACCCATTCCGGTGAGAGTTCCACAAGTGCTGCATCTTCCTGCACTGGTGCTGCAGCAGCAGCAGCAGCAGCAGTTTCGTTGGCTGTAGGTGCTGCAGCACGCAGCAGCGGCCCGTTCAGCAGCCCAAACCTGATAGGTTGAGGAGAAGGCAGCAAGCAGCTGTCTCCTCGACTGTCTCCTCCTGTTGCTCCCCAGCTGTCTCCTCCCAAGCCCGGATGCAGCACGACCGACGCATTCGGCTGTTGCTGCTGCTGCTGCTGCTGTTGCTGCTGCTGCTGCAGCCGCCGCGCTGCAGCCATTGCCCCTGCTGTGTCCGGCCCTAGGAGCTGGAAGTACTGCTCCGGCGAGACGCACACAGCAGTCCTCGTGCTGCTGCTGCTGCTGCTGCTGCTGCTGCCTTGCAGCGGCAGCCGCAGCGATGGTGGAGGCGGAAGCTGATGAGATACAGGCAGCACGAGCTGCAGTGTCTGTACAGCTGAGACGACACCACTGATAATCTGCAGCAGCAGCACCAGCCCCCGCTGCAGAGCGAAGCACAAACACACGAACGCGGGCATGCTATGTGCCCTCTCCTGCTGCTGCTGCTGCTGCTGCTGATGCTATGTCGGCCTTCTTGATGAGTCTCCTTCTTACCTGCTGCAGGACAGAAGGCAAGCCAGAGCGGCAGCTAGCAGCAGCAGCACCGCTAACTCTGCTGCAACAGCTGCAGCACGCCTTGATCTTGAAGTTGTTGAGGGTTGTGTTGGGTGCGCAGCAGCAGTTTTGTGTTTGCTGCTGCAGCAGACGCTCCAAGGCGCCTTGCTGCTGCTGGGCGCTGCAGCACTCTAACAAGCTCGAAGCAGACAGCGGCTGAATGCTAGCTAGCAAAGCCCCTTCTAACGCTCTCGTGCTTTGCTGCAGCAGCAGCCTTCCTGCTGTTAGCCACGCCCCAAGAACTTCCTGCAGAAAGGAGACAGCAAAAGGAGACACTCAAAAAGATAATGTGCATGCGTTGCAGCGCAGACAAGGAAACAGAATCTCACCAACATCCCGCTGCTGCCTGCTGCGCTGCTAGCAGCACCAGAAACAGCAACAGCAGCAGCACAAGCAGCAATAGCACCCGGGTAGCAGCAGCACACACAGTGGCAGTAAAACCAGCGGCAGTGTCAGCAGCAACGTCAGCCTGATCAGCAGCAGCATCAGCCTGAGCAGCAGCGTCAGCCCCAGCAGCAGCAGCAACAGCAGCGGCAGCAACAGCAGCAGCAACAGCAGCAGCAGCAGCAGAAGGCTTACCCTCAAGTCTGCTGGCGTGCGCTCCCACGATGGCAGCTGCCGCATGAGCCCGACGTACAGCAGCGCCTCCTCAGCAAGCGCGAGGGGGGCCCCCTGTAGGGGGGCCCCACAGACATAACGGAGACGGGGCAGCAGCAGCCGCAGCACGCCAAATGCTGATCTCACTGTCTCTGCAGCAGCTTTCTGCTGCTGCTGCAGGCCTCCAAGCACCTGCTGCAGCAGCTGAAGGACCTGGCAGTACGCGAGATGAGCAGGCGAACGCCGCATAAGAGTTGCTGCTGCTGTCCCTTCTGCTGCTGTTGCTGCTGCTGCTGCTGCACAGGCAATGTCGTAGGGAGACCGCTGGGGTCGTGCTGCTGCTGTCTCTTCAGAGCCACTTGAGACAGAGACAAGAGACACGAGTGGCTGCTGCAGCAGCAACCGATGAAAGAACCCCTCTACCAGCAGCAGCTCAGCAACAGGAACGACCCTACCTTGGGCTGCTGCTGCTGCTGCTGCTGCTGCTGCTCCAGCAGCAGCAGCAGCTCCACCGCCATAGGAGACTCTCCCATGCTCCAAACCACACCGAGGGAGACAGCAGCCGCTAGTTAAGAGATGAGACAGAAAGAGACACAGCGTGTTAATGCCTCTGCAGCGCTCAAGCTCCTCGGGGCTTCCTTGCGGTGCTGCTGCTGCTGCGTCTCTCCCCAAGTGCAGCAGGAAAGCCAGAGGCGTTTCGGCATCCGCTGCTGCTGCTGCTGCTGCGCTGCTGCAGCTGTTGCCGTACGTATAAAGGGCTGATGCTTCTGTGGCACAGCGCTGCAGCACAGCTACTAAAGCTGCACTGAGTGCAGCAGCAACTTCTTGCTTGGCTGCTTGCCAAGCAGCAACTAATGCTTCTGGACGTGCTGCTTCTGCTGCTGCTGTTGCTGCTGCTGCTGCTGCTGCGGCTGTTGGGGTTGGCGCACCTGATACGGATAGCGGAGACGGAGGCACCAAAGACGTTGGTCTAGGCGCACTGCCCTGTTGCTGCTGCTGTTGCTGCTGCAGCTGCGTCCCATCAGCAGCAGCAAGCGATTTCTGGCGCTGCAGCAACAAGGCTGCTGCAGTTGCATTTAGCAGCAAGGCGCTGGCAGCAGACAGCAGCAGCGAACTAAGACGCTGCTCTACTTGAGCGATGTCTTGCTGAGTGTCTGTCGGCCTGAAGAAGGCCCCATTCTCTGCTGGGGCTCCTTCTGCTGCAGCAGCAGCAGCAGCTGCTTCTGCTGCTGCTGCACGTAATGCCAGGATCCTGCTGCGCCGCACACACTGCAGCAAATTAGAAAGCAGCTCTGCAAGGCCTTCCCGCCACCGCTGCCACATCAAAATGTCTCCATCTTGTCGATGCTGCTTCTTCCTGGGCCCTTCCTGCAGCAGCAAGTGCTGCTGCGGCTGCTGCTGTTGCTGCTGCTGCAGTGCTAAGTGTGCCCACACGCCCGAAGCCACAGCAAAGAAGTCCGCTGCAGCACCAGCCAGACGTAGCAGCGACTGAGGAAGCATCCGCCCTAAGTCGCGCCCCAGTTGCAGCAACGGCTGCTGCTGCTGCTGCTGCTGTTGCTGCTGCTGCTGCGCCTCCCCAATGAGCAGCGCCTCGTGAGCAAACGCCGTTACCGCCAGAGCGCCGTTAAGGGCTGCACACAACAAACTGTCTGGCTGTTGCTGCTGCTGCTGCTGCTGCTGCTGCTGCTTGTCGGCTGGAGCGCTGCAGAAGCTGAGAGACCGCAGCACATCCCTGCTAGGGATGGAGAGCACGCCATCGGAGACAGGCTGTTGCAGCAAATCTGCTGCTGCTGCAGCTGGGTGCTGCAGCTGCGGCTGCTGCAGCAAAGCAGGCTGGACAGTGTAAGGGAGAGACGTTACGCCTCCGGGGCCTAGGAGGAGCTCAAGAGCGACATGCGCTTTCTGCTGTTGTTGCTGCTGCTGTGCTGTTGCTGTGTTGCTATCTCTTGCAGGGGTGTTGCTGCTGCTGTTGTTGCTGCAAGGAGACACCTTCTTGCTGGCGCAGATGTCTGTACACCAGTTGGCGCAGAGCAGCTGCTGCGCAGCAAAAGCAGCAGCTTCATAGAAACCCTCCCGCTGCAGCAGGTCCTGCCTGACCCCCGGCACTGCAGCAAGAAGAGACAGCAGCGGCAGCAGCAGAGCAGAAAAAGGCGGCCTTTCAAGAGCAAGGGCAGCTTCCGAAGCCCCGCTGCTCTTGCTGCTGCTGCTGCTGCTGCTGCTGCAGGGTCGGGGTATGTAGAGTGGATATACTGCTGCATCTCTGCATGCAAGGAAAAGCTTAGTGTAGCCTTGCAGCAGCAATTGCTGCGCCTCAGCGAGCGACAACCCCACAGAGGCCCTGGAAGCTGCACCAGAGAGCATCCATGGTGTACAGACAGATTGCTGCAGCAGGGAGTGCTGCTGCTGCAGCTGCAGCAGCAGAGCCGCGGGGCCTAGACGGGCGCGCAGCAGGCGCTCTTGCTGCAGGCTGCAGTGAAGAGACAAAAACAGCAGCTGTCTCCCTCCAAGCCCAAAGGAGACACCGTACTGTCTCCTTTCTGCTAGGCAGACGCTGGCCCTCTCCACATCTTGCGGCAAGAAGGCATCTTCCGCGTCTCCTGTCTGTTGCTCGGTGCTGCTGCAGCTGTTGCTGCTGCTGCTGCTGTTGCTGAAGCCCCAAGCAGAAGCACCTGCTGCTCCTCCTGACGCGTGAAGCTCCCTGTACACCTGAGGCGCAGCCTCCAACAGCCCACTCCAGCACTCCGTTGCACACTGTAAAGGCACCAACCCTGGATTAATCTCCTGCTGCTGCTCCTCCTGCTGCTGCTGCTGCTGCTGCTTCTGCTGCTGCTGCTGCAGGGGAAGAAGCGCCTCGAGGAGCTCTTGGTCTGAAGACAGGAACTCTAGGCAATCAAAAAAGGCCTCATAGTCGACTAAGTCATTGTAGTGGTGACTGCTGCTGCTGCTGCTGCTGCTGCCTTTGCTGCTGCTGCTGCTCTTGCTGTCGCGCAAAGCAGTAGGCAGGAAGCGCAGCTGCGAGCCAGCGATGCTGCAGAGTGACTGCAGCGCCCCACAGATTTCAACTGCAGCAAGCAGCTGGGCGCATGCATCCTCATCATCTGTGTCTTCGTGTTGCTGCTCCTCAGCACTGCTGCTGCTGCTGCTGCTGCTCCGGGTGCTGCCATTGCTGCTGCTGTTGCCATCGCAGCGCGCATACAGCGGAAGATCCACTGCAGCAGCAGACAGCAGCCTGCTGCTGCATGCAACTGCTGCATTCAGTGGTTGGATTCGCTTTGCGTGGAGCTGGAGTTGCTGCTGCTGCTGCTGCTGCTGCAGAGGCCAGAGCCCGCCATCTTGCTGCATCAACGCTAGCTGCTGCTGCACGGAGCAGCAACTCTTCAGCTGATCTCCTGCAGCAGCAAGCCAAGCCCGGGAGCGCCCCCAACTCATTTGCTTCCATTGCTGCAGCAGCAGCTGCCCCGTCTGCAGCAGCAAAACCCACCCCCCAGGGCCTCGAGGAGTGTCATTCGCTGCAGCAGTTGTTGTATCTGTTGCTGCTGCACCGCTGTTGCTGCTGCTGCTGCTGCTGTTGCTACGAAGCGCCTCCAGGCCCGTCTTGCTGCTCTGCTGCCGCAGCTGCTGCAGCGACGCCCTTGGTCTGTGAACGCAGGTAATCTGCTGCAGCAGCAGTAGCGCCAATCTTATTGTCTTCACCTGGCCCAGCACAAGGCCCGTTTGCTGCTGCTGTTGCTGCTGCTGCTGCAGCACATCCAGCAGCACCTGCTGCGCGAACTGCACGGTAGCAGCAAAGGCCGATTCCTCGCCTGCCAGCAGCAGCTGCTGCTGCGTGTCCAGCGCCAGCAATACTAGCTGCAGCAGCAGCAGTCTGTACTCGAGTAGCTGCTGCTCCTTTGCATATAAATGTCGCAGCAGCCGACCCACAAGGTCGTCCGTGTAAAGCCGTCGAATCCACCGTCTGCTGCTGCTGCTGCTGTTCTTCCCCGCGTCTGGCTGCTGCTGCTGTTGTTGCTTGTCCTGCAGCAGCAGCTGCAGTTCGTCGGACTCAAATGCAAGGGCAGCAGCAAGACACAGCGCTGCACTGCTGCTGCTGCTGCTGCTGCTGCTGCAGATGCCGTCCCACCGCTTCAGGTGGGTGAGTGGCTGCTGCTGCGCTGCGGGTCGACCAGCTTGAGGCAGCAGCTGCCGCTGCTTCTGCTGCTGTTGTTGCTGCTGCAGCAGCTCCTGCTGCTTCCAGAGGAGACAGAGCAGCGTGAGGACGGAGACAGCCGCCACCTTAACTCGGGAGTCTACAAAAGCAAAGACAGATTGAGCGAAGGTTGCTGCACACTGCAGCCCCTCCGCTTGCCCCTGTGCATCGCTGCTGCTGCTGCTGCTGCTGTTGAGTATACAGTCGCCCGAGCTAATGCCGCTGCACGCCAACAGAGACAAGAATTGCTGCTGCTGCAGCGCTGCCAGCAGGTCTCCTTGGTGCCCTGGGAGGCCATCGCCCCCCGAAGGAGACAGCAGGCTGCCTGGTTGCTGCTGCTGCTGCAGCGAGAGCCGCAGCAATTCTGCTGTCAGCCTCCGCAGCAGCAACGAAGAATTAGGGCTGCATGCAGCGAGCAGCATGTGGTGTAGAGCTTCGAAGGCCCCAAGGACAACACACTGCGACTGCTCCCTACAGGGAGCAACTGCAGCAGCGGGAGAGGTTGCTGCTGCTGCTGCTGCTGCTGCTGCACCCCCTGCTGCAGCAGCTGCTGCAGTAAACGGCAGCTGCTGCTGCACCAATGAACAGCTCCAGTGCCCTGACCATCTCCCCACTGCAGTGTACGGGTCTAAGAAGGCAGCGTCCGGCAGCAGCAAAAGAGGGAATTCGGTATACACTAGCCGCTGCTGCTGCTGCTGCTGCTGCTGCTGCAGCTCTTCGTGTGGCTGTTGCTGCTGCTGTTGCTGAGAAAAGAAGCCTGGTGCCTCTGAGAAAGAACAAAGCTGCGGCAGCAGCTGCAGCGGCGGGGTAGCCAGCAGTGCAGCAGCAGCAGCAGACAGCGTTGAAGTAGCTGCAAAGGAATTAGCATCCATAGATCCGTAGAAACGCAGCACGGGGCAAGAAAAGCTGACCAGCACTTGGCTCCCCTTGCTGCTGCTGCTGCTGCTGCTGCTGCTGCTGTCCCAGGGCACCTTAGGCTGCACAGAACCTGCGCCGGTCTTACCAACGATGTTGCAGCGTAAGACAGCAGCAATGCCATCGGGGACATTTGCTGCAGCGAGGGCCGTCAGCAGCGCCTCCAGCAGCTGCATACAAGACACAAAGCAGCAGCAGCAGCAGCAGCAAATGGATTGAGAATCAACGGCCCGGCGGAACGAAGACAGGCATACACCCAGCAGCAGCAGCAGCAGCAGCAGAAGCAGCAGCAGCAAGACAAGCTTACCTCGAGCTGCCTATGAGAGCCGCGAACAGCAGCATCACGGACAGCAGCAGCATCGCTGCTTCCATTGAATGCCTCGAAGGCGGCATTGAGGTGTACAGACACCCCACTGCTGCCCCAAGAGCCTCTCGTCCAGCCCTGCGTACTGGCTCTCTGCGGCGTCTTTGCTGCTGCTGTTGCTGCAGCAGCTGCTGCTGTTCCTGCTGGTGAGGGCGGCTGCGCAGCCCAGTGCAGCAGCGGCAGCAGCTGCAGCACCACCAGCAGCAGCAGCTGCCCCATGCTGCAGCGCTCCTCAGGGTGAAGGAAGGTCCAGGCAGGCATGCGAGCGAAGACACCGCAGAATAAAAAGTTGCAGATAGCAGCAAACTCACGAACCTGCTGCTGCGCTACTGCTTCCAGCAGCTCCTCTGATCCATCCTGCTGCTCCTGCTGCTGTTGCTGCTGCTGCTGCAGCTGCGGCAGCAAGTACACATGAGCAAGCGACACAGCAGCAGCACCGCTCCCACATCCGTTTCCATCTTGCGCTGCTGCACCTTTGCTGCTGTGGCGGCGTTTGCTGTGTTGCAGCTGCTCGAGTCCTTCTGCTGCTGCTGCTGCTGCTAGCAAACCCTGCTGCTGCCAGGGGACAGTCCATACAACTGGGGGCACAGATAACAGCAGCTGCAGCAGAAAGAGGAGCGTGCTTCTTAAGATGGTGTAGGTCCTTATCTCACGCTCTTCCTGTGCTGCTGCAGCAAGGGCTTGTAGCAGCTGCTGCAGAGACAAGATGCCGCGAGAGTGCTGCTGCTGCTGCGGGGCGCAGCAAAACTGCAGCAGACGCCATCCAGAATGCAAGAGTTCAGGAGCCAGCAGCAACTCGTGGTGCTGCAGCGGCAGCTCCACGAGGCACTTGCAAGCCACACGTTGCTGCTGCTGCTGGTGCTGCTGCTGCTGCAGGAACAGGAGACATCTATCGACGTCCACCACGTAGCACGGCAACAAGCAGCACCTGCAGGACGAGCAACAGCAGCGCGCATGCAAACACAGCAGCACTAGTTGCAGCAGCAGCAGCAGCAGCAGCCGTACCAGCAGCAGCAGCAGCAGCAGCAGCAGCAGCAGCAGCAGCGCAGCACGCTGCAGTACATAACTCACCTAAGTGCACTGAGAGCCTCAGGAAGCAGCAAACGCAGTTGGCTGCGGGTAGCAGCTAAACAAGACAGGGCATAAAATCGAGGAAGCAGCAAGAAGGGTGCAGCTCCTGCTGCATCCTGTGCGCTGTCTCCTGCTGCTGCTGCTGCTGCAGCAGCACTCTCCAGAGAGTGTCCATACACTTCACACGCGATAAAAGCTTCTGCTGCAGCCCGTGCAGCAGCAGGCCAGGCAGCGATGCGAGCCCATAGACCGCAAGCAGCAACGAAGGCCCTGCAGCAGCAGCAGCAACAGAAGCAACAGCAGCAGCAGGATAGCATCTATTCAAGCAACAACCCCATGTATCTTATATATGTCCTTAGGTGTCTATACAGCACTCACTTGAACGCAGCAGGAGGAAGAGCAGCATCGCATGCAGCACTTGTCTGGTGCTGCAGCCCTAAATCCATCAGCAGCCAAGCAGCCTTCAACAGAGAGAAACGGCGCCGAGTGCTGCTGCTGCCGCTGCTGCTGCTGCTGGGAGTCAGGGGCCAGCGCACTGCAAAGGTGCTGCTGGTTTTGTCCTTGCACCAGCTGCTGCTGCAGCTGCTGCTGCTGCTGCCGCTGCTGCTGCTGTTGCTGCTAGCGACTGGGTGGCGTAGGCTGACAGGCTCCAATCTGCAGCCGTCAATCTGCAGGGACCAGAAGGCCTGCTGCTGCTGCTGCTGCTGCTGCTGCTGCTGCTTCTCCGGCAGCTGCGGCCTCACAGTAGGGGTCATCCACGGGTCAGCTCCTTGTTGCTCTGCATTGTCTTGGTCGTCTTCCTTCTGTTGCTGGAGTTGCTGCTGCCGCTGCTGCTGCTGCTGCTGCTGCAGTTGCTGCTGCTGCAGTGTTGCCTCCGTTGCTGCTGCTGCCTGCACAAAGCGCCACAGCGGCAGCTGCACTGCTTCTCCCCTTGAGCCAGAAGGAATGAAGGACCAGCACATGACGCCTCCGTTTGCTGCAGCAGCATCAAATCCAGCTTGCTGCTGCTGCTGCTGGGGGCCCTGCTGCTGCGCGTCAAGCTGCAGCAGCATCGCCAGGCAGGGCTCAATTGGGGTGGGAGCCGCAGTAATATATGTAGCACCTGCGTCTGTTGTAAGGCCGCTGCAGGTCTCGCGTTGCTGCTGCTGCTGCTGCTGCTCGTTGCTGCTGTTCAAAGCGAAGACCAAACCTTCGATAGGGGGCAGCAGCATAGAGGTAAGGGGCTGCGCCAGCAGCAGCAAAAACTGCAGGGGACAGCCCATGTCAATTATATCGCAGTCGGTATCTTCACCCCCCCCCTGCTGCTGCTGCTGCTGCTGCTCTTGCTGCTGCGGCTGCGGGAGAATGGCTGTGAGTAGCTGCAGCGTGAGGTTTACCCCATAGGGAAACAAAGCGATGTACGCTCTCAACAGGCGCAGCAGGCCGCTGCTGCAGCATTCGTCTTGCTGCTGCTGCTGCTGCTGCTGCGAGGCAAAGAGGCCCTCCTGCTGCAGCAAACAGAAAAGGCGTCGCCGCTGCTTCGGCAGCAGCGCCAGCAGCTCGCACGCGCAGTGTACAGACAGCTCGTGGCATTGCAGGTCCTTTAAGGGAAAGACTGCAAGACAAGCATCTAGCAGCAGCAGCAGCTGGGTAGCAAACTCCTGCTGCACTGGATCCTGCTGCTGCTGCTGCTTTTGCTGCTGCAGCAATTCGTGCTGCAGCAGTTGCTGCTGCAGCGCATGCGGCAACAAAGGCATCACAAACTCCGCTGCCTGCGAAACAAACAAATCGATCTCTTCATCTGTAAGGCTGCTGTTGTTGCTGTTGCTGCTGTTGCTGTTGCTGCTGCTGCTGCTGCTGCTGCGTATCTTCTTATACCCCGCAAGAGCAGCAGCATGAGCAGCCAGCAGCACGGGAGCTGCTGTGGGGTGCTCGATGTAGCAGCTATAGAGGAGGTCCTCGTACACCTCACCGCCTTGTGAAAAGGCAGCTGCGTGTGCTGCACCACCCTGCTGCTGCTGCTGCTGCTGCTGCTGCAGCGCCTCGCGGAGACCCTCGAGACTGCTGCTCATGACGTCCCTATGGAGCGAAGCAAAGCGGGGCCCTTCAACAAATGCAAGGAGTGCATCCCTGCTGCTGCTGTTGCTGCTGCTGCTGCTGCTGCAGATATCCAAGATCTGCTGCAGCGGCATTCCGCAAACAGCAGCAACAGCACAAGACCCCCCGAGCTGCTGCGCCTGCCGCAGCAGCCTGCGGCTCTGCAGCAGCGAGCGTCTCTCGCTGCTGCGTGCTGCTAGGGCCCCACAGAGCCTGTCTTCATACACAAGAGAACAGAAACGATACAAACTCTCGCTGCAGCAACTGCTGCTGCTGCTGCTGTTGCTGCTGCTGCCCAGGGCACGCGCAGCCCGACCTGCTGCTGCAAGACAAAGCACCACCGCCTCCTGCAGCTGCAAGGTCTCCCTCATTTGAATTAGCTCGTGCAGCTCGTAAGCAGCAGCAGCATCTGATGCTGCTGCTCCGCTGTTGCTGCTGCTGCTGCTGCTGCCGCTGCTGCGCTTGCCGCTGCTCTGCGCAGTCTGCTGCTGCTGCCTAAATAAACAAGTTGTGGGGTCTGGCTGTTCATTTAGCTGCGTGTACAGCTGCAGCAGCCTTGTCTCAAGTTTATGCTGCTGCAGCAGCATAGTGGCGAATTCCTTACAAACCTGCTGCAGCGTAGGGCTGTTGCCCCCGCTGCTGCTGCTGCTGCTGCTGGCTGCAGCAGCCTGCATGCAAATGAAGTGGATACACCAGAGCATGCATAGCTGCTCATCTTGCAGCACATCTCGCAGCTCTCTAAAGACCTGAGGGTTTGCTACATCTATTGTTTCGCGCAGCTGAGAGGCCTCGAAGGAAGGCAGCAGCAGCTGCTGCTGGCCGCTGTGGTGTCGCAGCACGTAGGCAGACAGCAGCTCGTACAGCACTGCTTCAGACGGAACAGAGCAGCAGGAACAAGGGATACTGCTGCTGCTGCTGCTGTTGCTGCTCGTATTGGGGGCGGTGGCGGTGCTGCTGCTGTTGTTGCTGCTGTTGTTGCTGCTGCTGCTGCTGCCTTGTTGGGGTGCTCCTGTTGCTGCGGCTGAAGCACCAGGGACAGAGGCACGCACTGCATCCGCCCACTGCTGCTGCAGCTGCTGCAATGATTTGCAGGTCGTAGCAGAGACAGAAGGAGGCAGTGCTCTGTCAACAGAAGAAAGAAAAGAAGAGCGCAGCGCTACGATGCGTTGCTGCAGCGGCTGCTGCTGCAGCAACTGCTGCAGCAGCAACGGACTCGTCCCACCAGACAGCAGCAGCTGCTTCAGATGGCGAAACGAAGCAAGACACTTCCGCAGCTCAGCAGAAACATCAACATCACCAACAGCAGCTGCTGCACCTGCAGCAGCTGCTACAGCCGCAGCTGCAGGGGCACCCAAGGGCCCCCCGCCAACTGCTGCAGCAGCCCCCGTCGCTTGCTGCTGCGTCATTGGTTCTACCGCTGCAGCATGTTGCTGCTGTGATCTATCAGGGCAGCAACACCAACAGCAGCAGCAGCGGCAACAGCAACAGCAGCAGCAGCTCGGGGCTTCTCGTTGAGCCACCCACCCTGCAGCAAAGCCCTAGCCGCAACCCCTGAGGATGTATGCAGCTCCCAGGTGTCTATACACCTCAAAAAAGTTGTTTCTGCTGCGCTGCTTCGAGTTACAGGGGGACAGTTGGAGGGCCGCCGCAGCAGCAGCAGCAGCCACGTGCTGCAGCAGATTGTGTGCAGTGCTGCTGCTGTTGCTGCAGCTGCAGCTGCACGGAGGCCTAAAGAAAAAGAATATATTTTTATTTAAATATAGTAGAAGAACCTCCTGTCTGTCTACACCTCGCAATATCTAAGAAATTCCTTGCTGCTGCAGCGCATGCAACAGCTGCAGCAACACAGCCCCACCGCTGCATGCAGCTTTGGGGCTTTCTGTGGGGCTGCTGTCTTCTGATGTTGCTGCTGCAGATATCCATCCCTTTACGCAGCAGCAGCTTGCTGCAGCTGTGGCGGTGGTTGGGACTGCTGCTGCTGCTGCTGCTGTTGTTGTTGTTGCTGCTGCTGCTGCTGTCGGGGGGGTGTTGTCTGTTGCTTGTTTAGACATGTTGATGCTCTGCTGATGCAACACAGAATATTCAGATAAAGTACGGCATACACATCCTATTAGAAAGGCTTCACTGCATATATATACATATATATATATATACATAGACGTATAATATATATAATATCTATATGATATATCCTATATATATTCATTATATATATATATATATATATATATATATGTACATATAGATTACATATACATATTTAGAATAAATATATTATATATAATATAGACATTATGAATATAATGTGTATTATATATATATGTGCAATATATATATTATATACAATATATATATTATATGTATTATATATGTATATTATATATATATACTATATAAAATATATATATATTATATGTATTATATATGTATATTATATATATATATATTATATATAATGTATATTATAAGTATATAATATAAATGTAATTTACATATATGCATATATATGTATATTATATAAATATATATACTTATATATATGCAATGAATATGCCTACACAAAACTATGTATATGTGCATGCATTGTTTAAATAAATGTTTATCCTTAGATTAATTATTGTTTGGTGCTGCTCTTGTTGCAGCTAGCTGAGGCTGTATGTTTAAATATGGCTTCACTTTAATAAAAGAGACAGAATATAGGAAATAAAGAAGGAGACAACTGAGTATACACCTGAAGAGACGAAGTGAGGAGACAGATAAATAAAAGAATGAAGGAGACAGTTAAGAGAGACTAAAAAGAGACACAAGGAAAGGAGACAGACGGTCTATACAAACCAACACAGAGGCATGCATAGCATTAAAAAGATATATATATATATATATACCCCAGAAAGGAGACAAGAGACAGGAGACAGTAGATAAAGAATAAGAGACATAAGCAAGGAGACAGAAAGGAAGAGACAGCAGCACAAGAGGCTTTCTACTGCTGCACTTGCTGCAGCAATATGGGTTATTAGAGGAGCAGGGGCTTCTTATGAGAAGGAGACAGTCTCTAGAGACAGTCCGTAGGAGGAGTCGCTGCTGTCTCTCTACGCCCGCCTTGTGCTGCTTAAAGGAGACAGTTATTATTAAACCCTTCCTTTGTCTTTATATGCGGAGACACTTCTCTCTTCTAAAGAGGGGCTCTTATTTCCTGCTGTCTCTCCACCTGCTGCACGCTCTCTTGAGCCCTATCTACTCTAAGGCTACTTACTACCTGCCTCGCTTAGAGGGCAGCTAGCTATGGCTAGCTCTGGCTAGCTGAGACTAGCTGTGACTTGCTCTGACTGGCTGTAGCTAGCTATAGCTAGCTGTGCCTGGCTATAGCTAGCTGTGTGTAGCTATAGCTAGCTGAGGATGGCTATAGCTAGCTGTGTGTAGCTATAGCTAGCTG